AATCACTCTTCATATAATTCCTATATCCATCCATCCATCCATTCGTTTACTTGTCTAGTCAGTTATTGTTCCCATTTTTCTACAATGCATTCAATATGCCTCAATGATCACACGTATCTAATATTTCGTTATAGTTTCTACCAAGTTTCACAATAGAAAATATTACAAACCTCTCGGCACTCTCGCAGCTTTCTCCAACTGTTTCAGATGACCCAGAGGGTCCAAGAAATCCTGTGCTACCTGGTTAGCTATAGCACGCTGTGTCTTACGATGCAGTTCATCAAGCTTATTGGCTATCTTGCCTGCTAGGGCACGTGCTTGAGGAGAATTACCCTTCATCCGGAAATTAAAAAAAAAGCACATAAGGCATTAAAAAAAGAAGAAGACAAAAGGAAGGCTTTTTTCTTTGTTTTATCCTTTTGTCTTTGATCAGCTTTTGCTAGTGCTTATGCTTATGTCAATGTCTTATGTTGTTTGCTGTATTTCATTCCATTATCTTTTCTCTTGTTCTTGACTTAAGCTTTTCTTTACGTCCTTCTGTGAATTGACCACAGGTGTTTTAAAAACTTTAAATATCACTTTTAACGCACCCCTGYAGAGACCTAAGCAAGAACATAGGCCCAGCCACTGGCCAGGCATTACACAGGAATACCAAATCAACTCCTTACCAGTCCTCKTCGCTTTAGCTCACTCAATTCATTGGTGAGATTCTCAAGCTCATTACAGAGTTTCAATAATTCCATCCGTTCMGGTCCACTACACTTCTCAGCAACATTTCTTGCATCTTGTATRCACTGACGGATGGCTCTTTCACCTACAAAATTAAACAGTGAAAACATTACACAGGGAGCCCAATTTTCAAAGCAAAAAAATAAGAGGCCGTCAATGGACAATGTTCATACCTATTCCAGTATGGTCTCCACTAGGATTTTGAAGCCATTGTTGAGCTTGTTCCATTTTTCCAGCAAAAGARGTAGCAGGTTTTTTAACMCCACTGATTCCCTGGTGCTGCACAGCGTCGTCCATGATKGTTCGTAARTTGTTTAACTCTCTACCAACCTCTCTTGATATCTCAAGACCTCTTGGTGTTGTTCCCTGTGAAAATATATTCATCAATACACAAAATAAAATTGTACTTAAAGACTATAATGATTCAATCATTGTTTTATTGCTACAAGCTGGTTTCGTATGGTCATCAGAGATGAACACTTTTTTGAAAACATTTTTGATAAATTTAAGTTCATCAATATACATGTACACTAAAAATATCATTATCACAACCCTTACTTTCCCTTGGCTCCTCAGAGATGCAAGCTCTTCCATAAGTTTATCCAGGTCATCACAGCATTTCTGTATCATTGTTTTGTGAGGGTCTTGACATACATTTGCCATAGTACGTCCTTGCTGTATACACTCACGGACAGCCTTCTCGCCTAATCCACTTGCATCACAAGTTGCATCACCTATCCAGTCCTTAGCTCTGTCAAACTTGCTATCGAAAACAGAAACAGCTTTCTTCATGTCATATAGCGGATCATCTCCCTTGTTTTCCTCAGCTGATGTCAGTTGGAGAACTCGCATTATTTCTGTGATTTCTGAGCAGATCTTGGTTATGATGAAGTTTCTGTTTTCTTGTGCTTCTGGGCGGCCAGCTAGGAAATGGAGCAAAAAATATGGATGGATACATGATGCAACTTTTACTAACACAAGAATTACAATAACAAATATTAGGGGTATGGAATGGTGTCTCAGAAATCGTGAGGCTTACAAAAAAATTCTCAAGGCTCACAAGCTCTGCGCTTAAAAGAAAGGGGTTAATTCAAATTTAAAATCGTTTTTGGCTCAGAAGCTCGCAATTGCTGGATGATTGGACTCGTTCAGCCAAAGGCTCTGGTTCGGATTTTAAAAGGAGGGCGAGGTGARRYRAGGCGAAGCTCGGATTTTACCATTCAATATCCCGAATATTTTCTGCATTACCTCCCATTGGTGACTTGACAAACGTTTTCATTGCAGATATCAACAGCGGGACAAGGTGCTTGACTTTCCCAATACATGTCTTTAAGATATCTCTGTGTTCATGATGTGTCAGCTCCTCTGCTCTCTCTTCAACCTGTTTAGCAAGCGATGTTATTCCAGGAGTAAGATTGGTGACAAATGTTCTCAGATCGGCCATTTCATCAACCATCTCAGCAACAGGAAAGTACTCAAGAAGACCTTTGCAAACTCTAAGGATTTTGCGGACTTCAGCTTCATCAAGTGTAAGAAGAAGTGCAGACGTTCCTGAGAGAATGCCTAGCGTGGAAAAGACATGAACTTGATGTTAAATAAGGACAGACAAAAGCCTGGACACTTCCTCAACTTTAATGTAAAAATGATATAATGAAATGGCACAGTTCACTCTCCATATACAGGCAGCCCAGCACTGACTGACTGATTTTGTTAAATAAGGACAGACTAAAGCCTGGACACTTCCTCAACTTTGATTTAAATATGGCATAATAAAATGGCACAGTTCACTCTACATATACAGGCAGCCCAGCACTGACTAACTGATTTCCTAGCAATCAGGCAGCCCAGCACTGACTGACTAATTTCCTAGCAATCTGGCAGCCCAGTTACTGACTGACTGACTAACCCACCTCTTGCCCCATCAATCAGTTTCTTTCTTGCAACAGATGAAAAAGGATCATCCTTCAAGATGTGAGATGCTTCAACAAGGAAAGTAGATGACTCTTCAACACGATTAAAAGCAAGTGGCATTTCCTGTCTTAGAATCTTGTCTTTGCTGTTTGCAGCTGTCTGTTGTCCAACCTAGAGGAATTAAAAATGATGTACTTCAAAAAAAGGATTCCTGGCATTAAAATGGACGTCATCCTTTTGCCTTTTGAATCTTGTGTATGGGATTCATTAATCCATCCATCTATTCACTTCTATCTTAATAACATTTAAGTGAGCTCCCATGTGCTTGTAATTTATAAAAACAGCAACAAACCTTGACAAAAACAAAAAAAAAAACAAAAGAAAACAAACCTTGACAAGGTTGGCAACTGCGGCACCAACAGCCTTGATAGGCATTGACAAGTCAGGCATTGCTCTACCATCTTCACCTTCTTCATGAAAAATTACAAGCTGTGAAACCTGATTTACAAAAAAAAACGTTTTATTCTAAATTATCAAATTCATTCATAAGGTAAGCTTGCAGTTTTATATGCCCATAAAGGTCTCCCGCTCATATTTTATATAATACGTAGATCAAAATTTTGGACAATGTACATCAGCAGGCTTTACAATGGAACTCTAACTGTAACAATGCTTAGCATMTGTTCTGGTGTTTTGAGGTTTAAAGTGTGGTGCACATAGATASAGAAACATAATAACATATTACATCATATACTGCCACTATAATATAAGTAACAGATTGTTTTTGTCGAACTCATAAATATAACAAATTTTATTCTTTATAAATAGATATAATATAAAATGTAATTAAATGTATTCTTTTTTACAAATAAGGATTAGATACAGAGGTGTWATTGTAAAATGAAAAGAAAAGAAAGAGTGAAAATGAAAAACAGAAAAAAACATCTTATAAAGATGTTAAAAATATTTATTAAAATACTTTATTTATTTGGGTGTTTACAGCACTTGTACAATGGGTACATCCCATATTAATTATACCCTGCTTCAGTGGACCTTATGTTGCCTTATTTGGGTGGTGCTTATGATTACTGCCTGAGTTATAAGGTTTGTCACAATTACTGAGGGAACACAAGTTTCAATAGCATGTTTAACAGATAGGTCTGCTAGGGGGTATTTGGATTCATAGTTCAAAAAAGGAGGTTCCAGTAACATAAAACATTAAACCATTGACCAGCGATAACATAACACACATGTAAGATATTAGTCTAACGCAAATCATATTAAAATATTATCAAAGTGATGTCTGTACACTATCAGCTTGGATGGCATAAAATTTTGAAATTTAATAAAATTGTGTTTATTACAATAATTGATTTGTTTTACTGTTGTTTAAGCTGCAATYAAATTAAAAATGCTGCACGGGATTATGGCGATTAATTGGTACTTAATTWCTTTTGTTTTGAGAAAAAGCATTTTGGAGTTTAAACTATAAAGTTTATATTTGTACTGAAAATACATTTTGAATTCCATCAGGTGACAAAATATATTAGGAAACGAATGCATATCAAGAACCCTGGATATTTCAAGGGAACCAAGAYRCATTAATCGTGAATRGAMGAGCATGTTAATKAGCTGTACATGTCAATTATTTGCAARATTGTAAAACTAGAGTAGKTTGMTAAAACACTACAGCACAGAAATAATTTTYACGAGSGACWATSCYAGCGMTGCCGTGATCAAATAGCGAACATAGTCAAAGAGTGTCGTGTGTCATGYAACGATTAAGATCACTGTCGAGTAGTAAGCTCTCCTCTAGTAGGCCACCTTGACTGAATGTCTGTCATTTGMAGACGARAASTTTACCTATAAAATTGCATAACATTGCTGAAGAAAGACACTTGCTAATGTTACAATGCGTTAATCGACATATCATAGTAAAATTGAACCACTTTCGGGATGTATTATTCTATGTGTGAATAGCACAGGGGTAATAYGAGGACCTCTAATTGTTGTCATGCAAAATAGAAGCCTTGATCAAGCGATCAACTGTTCTATTGCTTCACAAACCTGTTGAGCCACGGGATCGAGAATACTCTCAATTGTCTTTGTATGGAAGACAGGCATAGTGAACAAAGCTCCACAGATTACACAACCAGTAAATTACCAAGTGGTTAGGAAATATAAAGCCGATTTCAGCCCACCGTACACACCTCAGATCGACGTAAATACTCCAAATTCTACGAGTACTTCAGCATATTAGCGCCTGCGATCTTCCGGTTATAASGCGGTTTTATCCATCTTCGGTAAATGTTCGGTTTTCCGAACTAAAGTCGAGCAAAAGGGTGGGAACGAAAAGACAACAAAAATATATTTTTTACTTTAAAACATATTGTATCAATAAATTATCAATAAATATTTATAAAAAAGGAATTTTGTATTTATATCTGATCAAAAAATACAAGAAATCACGCAACAAGCGAATTCTCGACCCAGTCTCTCGGACTTTCKTGTTCACTCGGTTCAAGTCAAAATGGCGGACGGYGAGATAGAAGAAGTTGAAAAGAAAGAAGAAGAATTTGTGCTAGACGAGAAGCCTGAACTCGAAGAGGCAAAGTCAGAAATCGAAGATGTCGCAATGCAAGATAAAGTGAGCGTATTAATATYACCTTATCTCTTTTTGTGAAGTTTTTGTTGACTTTTGTAAAACAAACTGACAGACATARRAATTTCTTTGTTCAAAGTCATTCAATTAAAGCCTTTCACTGATGTATCATTTTATTACTTAGATGGAGGCTGAATGCATAGTAAGCATTGAAGACACYGTSGCTGACCCAGACGATGAGAAATCYTGTGATACGACAACGATGCCAGACAATGAAGACTCCACATTGCCAGATTCTGAAACTTTGGATGACATTAATGCCAAATCAATGAATGGTAGTGATCTGGCGGACAGCTATTGYGCAAATTTTGGCATTTTAGGAAGCAGTATGGACAGTAACTTGTCTAGTAGTCATGGCAGTCTGCTGCAAAGTGGTCTTTCAGTTAGCAAAGGAAAGGACACKCAGAAAAAATCCTACAGAGGGAAGAGAAAGTTTGATAACAGTCAGCAATTTTCTTCGTCTAAGAAGTCCAAAACGTAAGAAATTGTGTGGAATGTTGAACTGAACATTTCTTTTATATATTTGTAAAATRTATTGCTTCATGTTTGACAAACRGCCATTGTATTGAATATTGATTGTATMTTAATTTGTGCGTCCTGTACCTTTTAACACTGCAAACAAAAATGTGCAGAGTTTGAAATGATTTCAAATATTGGCTACCTGTGGTAACAGAGGAGARCCAAAGCATACATGTAAGATTGTTATTTGATTGTTTACAGAGATATGCCAGCATCACAGAAACTACCACCTCATGGGTACCCTTTGGAGCATCCATTCAACAAGGTAACATCTCTAACTGACCTTTAAACATCTGCGCACTACCCCTCCTTAGTGCAGAGAAAAATGTTCCTTGCAGGGAGGGTACACAGAAGACCAGTTCACAGTACACAGAAGACCAGTTCAATATGCAATCATGATAAGTGACTATATATAATAAGGCAATATATTTATGTAAGATAACATTATTTTGTAGGATGGATATCGGTACATTTTAGCCGAGCAGGACCCAGTTGCACCAAAAGCAAATTTTGACCATGAGTATTGGGCAGGAAAACCAATTCCTGGCGACCTGTATAGAGTTACCTTACATAACGAAGTCTTGTTATCCATGAATGACAGAGGTATTGTATCCAAATAATATATATTTAAGGGACGCATGGGTGGCCGAGCGGTGAGAGCGCTGGCCTGTCACCTCTGTGGACCCTGTTCGAATCTCGGTCGGGGCGCCATATGTGATTTGAGTTTCTTTCGTTCTCTCCCTTGCGTCGAGGGTTTTTCCGGGTCTTTCCGGGTTTTCCTCCCTCAGTAAAAATGAACCATTTCTATCTGCTGTGCTCCGCGTTCAGTCGTTCGTTGCTATGTAAAGGAAGCGCCTAGCCGGCAGCACGCCTATGTGTAAGTGTATGTAAAAATGTGTCTGTAATATAGCACTTCGACTTGATAGCGCGTCGAGCTGCGTCTTTCGCAATTCAGCACCCGTGCTGCCATGAAGGACGATTAGCACCCAACACCTTTACCCTTTACCTTTACCTTTACACCTTTACTGTCAATGGATGACATGCGCAGTAACAGTCTTGCCTCTAACGGACTTTTAAATCAATGTTTTGACACACTTTGGAATATTCTAGATCTGTTGATGTTTATGAGTACTTTTTTGTCATGCGTCGCGCCAACTTGGAGTCGTAAACTTGAAAACATTAGCCTAATCTTTTCAAGTTTACTCGCACATGCGTGCCATTGACAGTGTCCTATAAGCTTTCACATGAGTGTCTAATACAGGAAGTATAATTATATGTTACTCAATGTTTTTGTTGTTGTTGTTTAGCTCCACAATTAAAGCTATCAGATGACAGGCTTTCTGTAACTGGAGAAAAGGGCTACAGCATGATCAGGGCTTCACATGGTAGGATWTATTTTGAGCAAAAATAAATCCCCTTTTAGTAAATGGTAGATTTTTTATTGTCTTGCTACTGTGTTTGGTATTGTTCGAATTTTACCGAAGAAAGGATGCTTTACGTAGCTAAAAAAGACATTCAGTTCTGTGTGCAAAGATTTGTCCTATGAAACTTAAATGTTGGCTGGCTAATATGTTTTGCCAAGTTATTGTAATAAAATTCAACGTAATCGTTATCATTTTTCTTCATTAGGTGTTAGAAAAGGTGCATGGTATTTTGAGGTAAAAAGCTTTRATATTTGATATACCTTAGCTGTATCCATTGTCCAGTAATTTGAACAGTGGTACATATACTCTTGATATAAAGTACAGCTGAAAGTTTTTTTGATTATCTCTTGTTCACAGATTAGCATTGAAGATATGCCTGATGAARCAGCAGCAAGAGTAGGCTGGTCTCGACTTTATGGTATAAATTTTTACTAATATTTGCATTTGAATACGAAATATTTGCATTTGAATATGCTACACATCCATTCCAGACAAAACTTCACATCTGCAATTAGCTATAGACTGCTGTCAATCAACTATGTGCTATATGGCAACAACAGACACTTTGTTTGAAAGAGATTAACAGAAGACTATTTATTTGCCAACATTGTCATGAATTTTTTCTTGTGCCACGTAGAAATGCAAATGATGGTAAAATTGTATACGATTATAAATAGGAAATTTTGAGTAAAAACTAATTACAAGTAAAAATTTGTTTAGAAGAAAGAAATCTTGTTTTTTTATCAGGAAATCTTCAAGCTCCCTTGGGTTATGACAARTTTAGTTATTCATGGAGAAGCAAAAAGGGAACTCGTTTTCAYCAAAGCAGAGGCAAGCATTACTGGTAAGCTGAATATGACTARCTTATTATTTTATTAATTATTACTAATAATTGGATATTAATAATCTACTATTACAGTGACAGTGGTTATGGGACAGGCGATGTACTAGGATTTTATATTTATCTACCAGACCACAATGCACACCCTTGTAAGTAGTTAATTTTCAAGTGATTTTTATTTAAATTTGGAATTGAATACACAAGTGGCACATTTCAGAAGAACGTTACTTCACTGTCGCATTCCTAGCACCTCAAGACAGGGAGAAACATAGTAATTGATATCATTTTCCCAATATTCACTTTTCGTTTTGCTTCGTTCCTAAAATATGTTCACTCTCCATGTTGCTTTTTTCCTAAAACACGTTCACTATCCATTTTGCTTCATTTCTAAAACATGTTCACTTTCCATTTTGCTTCATTTCTAAAACATGTTCACTTTCCATTTTGCTTCATTCCTAAAACACATCCACTTTTCCTTTTGCTTTGTTCCTAAAATATGTTCACTCTAAAACATGTTCACTTTCCGTTTTGCTTCATTCCTAAAACATGTGGTGTATTTGAATGATAATAGTGCTATTAGCTATTAAAAGGCAGCACGCTGAGTAGAAGAATATCATGTGGATGCTTTAGACATTATACCCACAACAAACACAGGAAGATGACAGCAAGCCCTGCTGGGATAAAAGAGCCTCCCTCTGCATGCCATGTGTTAGGATGCTAAGCATGATAGGGGAGTGCCTCAGGTTTAATCTTGCTGAATTGCATTACTCATGAAGATTACTGAATAATGGGACATAACATGGCATTTATGTTAAATGACTTTTTCACTTCATWGTAGATGACATTTTACCTTATTAATGCTCAATTACTTTGTTTTATTTTCTTTAAACATTTCAGCCACTTATCTGCCATCAACATTTAAAGATAGGGTAGGTGCTTCTTTAATTAGACAGTGGGAAGTTGGTTTATATTAGAAATTGTACAAACCAATAATTGTAAGCAGGCTATTATGAAATTAATATATAGTACATGTGACAATACTGTATCATTTTTTGAGATTTTTTTTTATAATTATTATTTTGCATTTAATCTTCTCTTCTTTAACAGGAATGTACACAAAAACTTGCCAAAGCACACTTCAACAAATATATAATGCTAGTTCACGTGTTGTTTAAATATTGATAAAGATTATAATATACTTTAGGCACTTATCAAGTTCAAAAACTACTTATATTTTGAAGAGAAGGATCAAGTAGATGAAGCTGTTAAAGTAAGTAGTTACTGACTGTTGTTGAATATTTTATGTTGCTCATCAAATTCCAACATAAGCTAWA